TATCGTGTGGTTCAATAACTCAGAGTAAAAAAAGCATTTCGGTGAAGTACATTAGTTAATTATTCAAACAATATATTTACAAAAACCAAAAAAAGAAAAAGGGCGGGGGGGGGCAAAATTAGGGCCGACCGGGTTCTAATTTCTAAATCACTAAATCGTATTTTGGATTTGCAGGAGAGAATGAGATACTTTGTAAAGAAGATGGATCCACCGAAGGATATATGATGGGTTCTGTTATTTTCGATAAAAAAGAGAAGAGGATGGAAGTGCTGATCACATACACTTGCAAAAGTGCCATACAAAGAAAGAAAAATGAATGGATTCTCTCACTTTTTAATGTTCCTTAACCTACAAAAATATCTATTCAATGTCAACGCAAGTTTGGGTCTTCAAGTTATCATCATCTCTCCCTAATACCAATTGATCACTCCTAGAGCACATATATAGTAGAGAAAGACAAATTAAGATTTAATTATTAATTAATAATTGAGATTTTATTTTATTTAACTGTTTAAAACAACTGATAATTATAATTGTTAGTTGATAATAAAATCAATTTATAAATTGATATTTTAAAATATTTTGACTAACTATTTAATAAAAAAAATTATAAATTGATTACTAATAAAATTAGTTAAATCAAATACATCATAAAAAAAAGTTTTAAATAATAATAGATCTTAATCTAAATGGTATACAACATATGAATATTTAAAAAAATTTTAGGTTTAGAACTTTTTGGTATCTACTTGCGCCATTCATTAGAAGAAAATTCAAGGTAAGAAATGTGTTGTGCCCCAACTCATCTTTCAAAAGAAGTGTTGTTCCGGCAAGGCGCAAAAAAGTCAAGCAGTTATGATCAAGAAGTGCCAAATAATAGAAACATTCATGATTGTGAAACTCAACATGAAATCAATACATATTCTTTGAAGTCATGACCTTATCATAAGCCTTTGAAATTTGATAAAGGTAGTGGGGAAGGGGCGATTTCAGCCTTTTTTCTTTTTTTTTTTTTTTCAAAAATTAAATTCATAGAGTTTCTCTGCCTAATTTATTTGCTTTTCTGCAGTGAAAATTGATTCTTGTACCATGATATTGCAACCCAAATCCGAAACGACTCGAAGCATCCTTTAGCATCTTTTTTTTTTTAGGTTGAATGTCAATTTTGATCCCTCAACTTAAGATTTTGCACAATTTTCATTTCTCAACTTTTTTTTACATTCTTTTAGTCACTTGACTATGAAAAATATATTTTTTTAGTTTTTTCGTTACTTAATCTATTAAGTCTATCTGAATTTGTACATTTTTAATCCATCAACTTCTAACATATGCACATTTTTTATCCTTTAACTTAAAATTGTGGGACTAAAAATATAAAAATTTAGATAAATTTAACAGATTAATTAATGGAAGACTAAAAAAGTACATTTTTCATAGTTAAGGAATAAAAAAGTGTAAAAAAAAATTAAGGGACCAAAATTAGCATTTAACTTGTTTTTTTTTTTTTAATTTTCCTACCAAAAAATTATAATTCATTAAAACAAATAGATATCAATGCCAATTTATAATTTAATACAGGATCTAGTTTTAATTGATAAATTG